TAGGCAGGGCTGGCGATTGGGGTGAGGGGGAGGTGATTGGGTTGGAGCGAGCAGGGAGCTGACCAGGTCACGGGAGAGGGTGACAGGCAGGGCGCAGTGCTGCAGGTGGGGGTCAGGCCCGGATCGCCCCCCTTGACGCTTTGTGCCCCACAGCCCCGCGGCCGCTGTGCTGCAGGCCGACCGGGAGAAGCTGCGGGAGATGCAGAAGCAGCAGCCGCGCTTCACGGAGGAGCAGAAGAAGGAGCTGGCCGAGGTGCACCCTTGGGTGAAGAAGGGGCTGCTGCCCAAGGCCATCAATGTCACGGTGAGGGGGGTCCAGACTCACCCAGCTCCCTGGGCGCTGGGTAGGGGGGTTGTGACAGGGTCGGGCACAGAGACCCCCTTGGGACTGTCACCTGACGTGCTGAAATTACCACTGAGCCCATTTTCCCTGCCAGCTTGGGACTCCAGAACCCTGCCTTGTTGAGTCAGACAGACCTGCCTGCTACAACACAGACCCAGGTCTGGTCCATACCCCCAAAGCTGCAGACTTCAACCAAAAACTGCTCAGCAGGTCACCTCTTTCCAGCACCCAGACACCCAGCTCCCAATGGGGTCCAAACCCCAAATAAATCCGTTTTACTCTGTATAAAGCTTATGCAGGGTAAACTCATAAACTGTCCACCCTGTATAACACTGAGAGAGAGAGATGCACAGCTGTTTGCTCCCCCAGGTATTAATCACTTACTCTGGGTTCATTAATAAACAAAAGTGATTTTATTAAGTATAAAAATGAAGCTTTAAGTGGTTCCAAGACAGAACAAAGTAAGTTACCAAGCAAAATAAAACAAAACACGCAAGTCTAAGCCTAATACATTAAGAAACCGAATACAGGTAAATCTCAACCTCGGAGATGTTCCAATAAGCTTCTTTCACAGACTAGACTTCTTCCTAGTCTGGGTCCAGTCCTTTCCCCTGGGACAGCCCTTGTTAGTTCCAGCAGGCATCTCAGGTGAAAGCAGGGGATTTCTCATGACTGACAGCCCCCTTTGTTCGGTTCTACCCCCTTTTCTAGCTTTGGCCCAAGGCAGGAATCTTTTGTCTCTCTGGGTCCCCACCCCTCCTTCTAAACGGAAAAGCACTAGGTTTAAGATGGATTCCAGTATCAGGTGACGTGGTCACATGTCCTGTGAGACTGGCCCACACTCCCCCAGGAACGTTTGCAAGTAAACAGACCATTTACAACCAATTGCTCTAGTGAACGGGCGCCATCAAGCTTCCAAACCACCACTAATAACCCACACTTTGCATAATTACAATAGGACCTCAGACTTAACTTCATATTTAAAGTTTCAGATACAAGAATGATACATAGGATGACCACACACAGTAGATCATAAGCTTTTTTTATGCTGCCTTACAAGAGACCTTTTGCAGAAAGCATATTCCAGTTACCTTATAGTTACATTCATAAGCATATTTCCATAAAACCTTATGGAGAGCAACGTCACAGGGGTGCCCCACGTCCACTGACCCGCCTTTCCTGCTCTCTCCCCCCAGGCCTGCGTGGACTGCGGCAGTAACCCGGCCTCCCACCTGGCGCCCCTCTACGACACGGAGCCGCACGCCATGGAGCTGAGCGCCACGCTGGAGCCCATGGAGGAGGGCAGCAGTGCCCCCCCCTGCCCAGACATGGCCATGGAGGAGGAGGAGGCGGGGCAGCCGGCCCGGCCCGAGGCGGGCACCGAGAACGCTGGCTGAGGCCCCGGCCCGCCTCCTCGCACACTCCCAGGCAGCGCCGGCTGCCCCTCGGAGCCGGCCACCGCACGGGATGGACCAGAAGTGCCAGCCCAGCCCTGGCCCCGGGACTCAGCCAGGCCGAGTGCAGAGCCGAGCCGGGCCGTGCTCCGGACCCTACCCTGCCCGCAGGCGCCCCCGGAGGCCGGGGCTGGCCCTGCGCAGGGCGAAGTATTTATTTTTGGAACGTGTTTTTTGTACGAAAAGGCGGGACAATAAACCGCAGCCACGGCTGTCCCCCGTGGGCGGCGACGTCCCAGCAAGATCCGAGGCCTCCTTTGTGTGCTGCCCCCCTGTTCCCAGGGAGTGGTGTGGGCCATGGGCTTCCCCAATCCCCTGATGCGGCTCCCTAACCTTGTCCACCTGGCTGCAGTCTCTGCTCTAACCACTAGACCCCACCTCCTTCCCAGACCTGGGGAGAGAACCCAGGAGTCCTGGCTCCCAGCCCCCTGCTCTAACTGCCAGTCCCGACTCCCCTCCCAGAGCCAGGGAGAGAACCCAGGGGTCCTGGCTCCCGGCTCTAACCACTAGCCCCCACTCCCCTCCTGAGTCCACGTTCCTTGTGCCACTGTGGGAACTGTCTGCTCCAGCTGCCTGTGCCCGCGGGCCTGGGCTGGCGCCGGCCTGAGCCTTGCATCCCATCCTCCAGCTGGGGTTTGTCTGCTTGGGCAAAGGTCTGATCCTGGTGCCATGTTCCCCTGGTCCTTCCCCCACGCCCGTCTGCCCAGGCCTGGGCGCCGTCTCCCTCCCAGGGTGTGCCCCCGGGTCCACCCTGCTTGCCCCCAGGCAGGGGTGGGGGAGCCATGCCTGCTGCCTAGCGCCTGCCCCCCTTAAAGCAGGATCCCCTGATGTTTCTGAGCCACATGCCCCCCTGCCCTGCGGGGGGGGGCAGTACCCACAAACGTAGCTGGTTTTCATCCTTGCCCAGGAGGTTAGTGACCCCCTCGAGGTACATCCCCTGGGCCAGGCTGCGGCCGAAAGGGTGTCTGAATGGGAACCCCGGCGTGGGAGCAGGGCAGCTTTCCCTTTGTGGGGCCCTGTTGCCAGGTGGGCTGCCCGAGGGTTCACCCAAGAGCCCTATGAGTGGTTAAAAGGGGAAGACGCTAGGAGCCCATGTAGGGGAAGGGACAGTTTGAGATGGGAGCGGGGAGAGCTCGTTGATCTGGCCAAACTCTTGAGATTCAGCTGGGAAATACCGTCTGAGTTTTTCACCGCCAGCCGAATTAACCCTTGGCCCTGTTTCCCGGGGGCCCTGGTGGATTCTCCAGCACCATTAAGTGGGGGGGGGGGGGAAATCACGTGGGCCTTGTAGGCAAGATTCAGCCGGGAAATCCGGCCTGACCTATGGGTCATGCACGGAGGCAGCCCCGCTTCAGCCCCCTTCACCAAGCCGACACGCCAGCGGAGGCGGGAGGGGTGGAGGGACGTGTGGGTGGGCCAGTGTACGGAGGTGGGGGCCTAGGGCCAGGAGACAGTGCATCCTATTTACAAAGGCCCTGGGCAAAACAGGGCGGGAAGAACAACAGCCTGGTAGTGGCCCCCGGGGGCCAAGTGAGAGTAACCCCCATTGCCTGTGTCTGCCAAGAGCCTGAACCTGTAGCTGCCCCCCAGGACGCTATCTGTGGCTGCTGAGCGCTTGACCCCATCACTGTGAGAAAGGGGGGCTGCCCCTCGTGACCAACACTGCCTGAGTTTGCTGAGAGCCTGAGCCCATTGCTGTGAGAAGGGAGAGCTGTCCCCTGTGGGACCACCGCTGCCTGCGTCTGCCAAGAGCCTGAACCCCTGATGGCATCGTTCCTGTCAGGGCTGAAGCCCGGTTTTCACGTCACCGCTGCTCATTGTAGTAACTGGGAGTTTGAGAGAGGCTGGGGTCCTAATAAGGATCAAGTGGTGTTTGGTTACTTTCTGCAGGGCACATTCCCCTCCTGCTACTGGTGGGCAGGGCCTCCCTTGCCCCCATCCCCGGAGGCATCTCCCCACAGGCGCACCTCCCGGTCATTTTCTGCTGTATCACTCCCTGTACGATTGCACCAAGCCTCATGGGGCCCCCCCACTGGCTGCTGGCGCCGGTTTTCTGGCAGAAACGCCCCACTGGGGGCTTTGAATCCAAGCTGTTACCCTGCCCCAGCCTTGTATGGGGCGGGCTCTGGCCTGAACCCCATGGGCAGGGTCTGGAGCTGGCTTCTGCGCTCCCCTTTGCCCCGATGTGGCTGGGATGGGTGACCCCAAACGGGGACCGGCCATCAGGCCCACCGAAACCCCCTCCCCAGTGCCGCCAGTGCCAGTTTCTCTAGCGCCCAGGGAAAAGGGGGTTTCTGAGTCAAGCCTGGGAGCCGGGCTGGAAGAGGCAATGGAGCCCAGGCACGGCGTACCCCCCGCCTCCGTCCTTTGGCTGAGTTCGCCTGTCACACGGGGTTTCCGGGTCGGGGTTTCTCCGGGTGGTCCCGGGGGCACAGTGGTGCTAGCGCGTATTTGACACCCCGAGCCTGCCTCCTCCCTCGGGGTCTCCGCAGGCCGGGAGGAATTCACCCCGTCACAGCTAGCGGGTAGCCGTACCGTGGGAGTGGGGAAACTGAGTCACAGAAACTGCACGGTGGGTGGGGGCAGGGCAGTTGGCAGCCCATGGCTGCACAGGGAGGCCACGATCTGCCCTGGGTAGATCTGGACGGGGGCGGCAGGTAGATGGGGGAGGGGGGCCCCCATAGATTCCCCAGATGTGGTCCCTGGGCCTGCCTGTTTCCAGGACATCTCCGTGGCATGGCTGGGCCGCATGACCCCGTGCCCGGCCTACCTCTTGCGTCTTCAGTCAGGCCCGTTTTCCTTCGCTGTATTTCCTCCCCCCTATTCACGCTGGGGCACCCATCTTCTCTAGCCCCCCAGCTCCGATGCCGCAGGCTTATTCAGGACCTACTTGTCTCCCTCTTCCCCCGAAGTTGGGCCAATAAAAGATACTTCCCCTTCGCCGGCTCCCCTCCCTCCAAACAACCCTGCAACCGGGGCGTTCCCCCGGCATCGAGCCAGCGTTGGCGTCGAAACCCAGGCCCCAAAGTTGGCTTTGTGGGCTCGCCCGCCGGCCGGCCGCCCGTTCGCAAGCCATTCGCCGCTGGGTTTCTTCAGCTCTGGTCTTAGGGCCGGGCTGGGTTGCCCTGAGTCTGTGTTTTACCCGGGATGAGAGCAGTAGGGTTTTGTAGTTTGCTGTCTGAAGTTGGTCTCACGCCAGCAGCTGGGTAACGACCCCACTGAGACACAGGCTAGTGATAGGCACTCAGCTGTGATGGCCGAGTGGTTAAGGTGTTGGACTTGAAATCCAATGTGGTGGCCCCGTGTAGGTTCAAATCCTGCTCGCGGCGGTTGGCTGCTTTTGCTCGGAGAGGCGACGCCCGGAGATCTCGCTGGCTCGGGGCATTTTCGGGGGTGAAATGCCAGGCAGGGGCCTGTGGGTGGGTGGCACTGCTGGGTCCAGGAAAAGCAAATTATGTGGCCATGGGGAATGCCCCCCAAATTCCTCTGAGGGATCCCCCGACTCTCGGAGAGACAGGCCCTGGGTGGTCAGCATTCAGGACTCGCGCTCCTTCCACCCAACCCGTCATCGACTCTCCAGCCAAAACCCGCCACTTGGGGTGGCCCCAGCTCCGGTGGGATCCTGCCCCCAGGACCGATCTGTGGACGTGAGCCCGGTGCCAGAGCCCTGATCCCCGCAGAGTGGCCTCCCCAGCCAGACATCGGCAGGGATGTGTCCGCCGACAGGCCAGGGCAGAGGTACCGCGGAGATGCCAGGCTGGGTCTGCAGCCGGTGGCTGGAAATCGCCCCTGATCGAGCCACTGACGTTGTCCAACCCAGAGCGAGACAGGGCACAGAGAGCCAGAGGGCTTCTAATCCCCATGCCGCCTGCCCCCTGCCAGGGCCTGGGGTGCTGACCTTCCCCCCCCCTCCGTGAATCTGGAGTCACCCCGCTGGCGTCAGTGGGGCCTTATTTCCTTCTCACTCACCCCCGTGTGAATCCGGAGTCACTCCAGTGGAGTTAGAGGCGCTGATTCCCCGCTCGCTCACCCCCGTGTGAATCAGGAGTCAGCGGCGTTACACTAGCTTTGTTGCATTGGGCCTCGTTTCCTGCAGGTCGGCGGGCTCGGAGCCCTGCTCACGGAGAAGCCGTGGCAGACGCCTGTCCTTCACCGCGCCACCCTGCACCATCTGCACCCAGGTTGTGCCTGCCAGCCTCTGGGCCAACCCAGGCTCTCCAGGGCATCACACAGCACGTCCAGTCGCGCCTCTTTGTTCCTCAGCTCCGGTGCAACCCCCCGGTCTTGTCCCGGCATCCAATCAACCCTTAGCTTGAGCGTGTGGCGAGCACAGTCACGGGTACCCAGGCTGGGGGGAGCCACTGCCCTGGCATGCAGGCCCCGGCGCCCCAGGAGTGTTTTAGTTCGCGGCGTGGCGGGCGATGGCTGGGCGGCTGATGCTGGGGATTATCGCTAACAGCGGTGGGTAACGGCGCACGCTCCAGGCTCACCACTAGGGGACGCACTGGATAGGGCAGGGGCAGGAGGGCCCCGGGTGGCCGTCCCTGGGATGGGAGGTCATTTAGGATAAGGGGGGGGCTTCTGCAACCCCCAATAACACCCCGAAGCAGGGGGGGGTCAAGGGCTTTGCCCATTAAGGACACCGGAGGCTAATTGTCATTTGGCTCGCCCCGTTTCCAAGTGCCCCCTGCCCGGAGCCAGAAGCCCCGTCCTGGAAGTGGCGGTCTGAGATGCTGTTCCGCCCCCGCCCCGCCAACCTACAGGCGAGGGAGGTGTGTGTGTGGGGTGGGGGGGGGCGGCTGGAGGAAGTGGATAGTGGTGGGGGGGGGTAGGTTCTCAATGGACAGACCGGGGAGTACCTTTTCCGCACCGCCGGGCGTGGCTTAGCCTGTGGGACTCACCGCCACTGGAAGTCGCTGGCATGGATAACGGGGCTCTGTGGAGAGAGCCCAATGGAGGAGGCTAACGAGGCTGGCGTGGGGGTAGGGGGAGAGAACGGAGGTCACTAGTATGGGGGGAGGGCTGTGGGGCACACAGCGTTCCTAGCACGGAGGTGGAATGGGGGGGAGCACAGAGCCCTTGGAAAGGCGGGGAATGGGGGGGTACATGTTCCCTGGCATGGGGGACGGGAGGCTGGGGGGGAGACACACAGCTCCTGGGGGCAGAATGGGGGCACACAGAGACCCTGATGTGGGGGGTTCCCTGCCACAGGAGACACGGGGGGCACACAGACACAGCCCAT